CTGTGGTGGGCTCCACGCTGTGCAGACCTGGGCTGAGGTGCAGGTCCTTCACTGTTCTGGCCTTTTCCTCCAGGGCCTCCTGGAGTCCTGGCTCAACCTCTAGGCCTGGCCAGGTAGTAAACCAGCTAGTCCTCCCCAGTCCTGAAACCTCAGCACAGCCCACGCACAGCATCTTCAGGACTCCGGACGCTGCCCTGGCCTCCCCAGCCTCCGTCCACCTTCTCTGTATCTGAGGACCCCAGCATCTCAGTCTCCAAACGTTGCCAGAGTCGTGGAGTGTCTCAGCTGTGGTCCATCACCAGACTCTGGGTCTGAGGCCAAAGACCAGGATCCAAGGTTTCTGCAATCTCAGGCGACTGCACCGAGATCTGCTCACAACACAAACAGAATTCCAGCTCTTAATCTGACTTGCAAGATGCTTTCGCTTTGGGCTGTTTTTAAATATCTTAAAGTAAGAAGTGTCCACATGTGATTTTTGTTGTTGTTCTTTGTTGATTTCTGTTCTTCAGGCACTGATGGCTTTCTTCTACCTTTCTGGGGAGTTTGTGGTTCCCCGGGACCTATAGCTTTGTGGGAGTTTTGTCTGTGGCTTGCCAGACCTGAACTAACAACTCCTTGGTCAGCAATTGTGCACATTTCATGTTGCAATCATGAAGAGCTTGGAAAGAAGTGAAGTTTAAAGGCCCCAGCACCATTGAAGAGATGCCTGTCCTGTGTGTTAGCAAGTATCTGTCTTGAGAACAGGGTCACACCCCAGAGAGGTAACATAGTACAGAAACATGGGCAGCGCAAAGAAAGCAAGTCTGCACCGGCTCCTGCACCGTCCCTGAGCTCTGCTGACCTCCAGAACCAGCTGTGACACACTGAGGGGGTTCTGGCCTGAGAACAGTCATTCTATCTTAATCTTAGGTAGTTCCCTTCACAGTGCCATATTCAGACAAGTGAATCTACTTGATAGATCATTCCACAGGTGAGGAGGGATACAAGTGTGAAATGGAAGTTAGATGTTTTCCAAACCAGTTCATTGAAGGAAAGGACATTAACCAAGAGAGCTGCTTTTCATAATGAGGGAGCTGTGGGCGGGAGTTAGGAGAGAGCCGTCTGTCCAGCCTGTGACCCCGTCTGGGCTCCTGGAGGCCAGAGGAATGGGGCTTCCTCAGCCACGTCCCCAGGTGGCTGCAGGGTGTGAGCAATACAGACTTCCTGCTGGACACACGGCTTCTGCCAGAGCATGCACCGTGGTGCCTAGGAGACAATCTCTACTGCACTCCTGGACGCTCTTGGTAAATATTTCCTGCACACATCCGATATTTAATTTATTATGTAAACATTAAAGTTATGTTTCTACATTGTACAAGGTAAGACAATCTAATAATAATGCCAACTTTTATTTTTCTAGTTTGCATAGACAAATGTGTTTAAATGAGTATTGTTCTTCAAAATATTCACTTTGAGATGTTTTTGAAAATAATATTTGGATTTATTTCCAAGTGTTCCCTTGCATGAAATATTATTGTAACTGTGGAAGAAAACTACTTTTAAAGCCATAAAAGAAAATCAGTTTGCCAGCCTGACCCTTCTGTCTACACACACGCACACACTCATTTTATAACATAAGAAATATTCGCGTATCGAATGACTGATCCACTTGCTGCGCTGGCACGCAGCTCTGGACGAGGTCTGAAGTCCGGCCCGGATGCCACCGGCATTCTCCATGTATTTGGGTAGCTTCCCATCGCACTTGCTTTGCCAGTTGGGCATTTCATTTCTTTGGTATTTTTCTTAATCTGATTTAATAGGCTGTGCTGCATCCATCTAACTTGTACTTAGTGAAGAAAGATTAGAACCAATTGTTGGCCATCCTTAGAGTACTCATAGCAGGTCTCACGGTCCCCGTGGTGGGGTCTCGTGTCCCCGTGGTGGGGTCTCGTGTCCCCGTGGTGGGGTCTCGTGTCCCCGTGGTGGGGTCTCGTGGTCAACGCGGTGGGGTCTCGTGTCCCCGCGGTGGGGTCTCCTGGCCCCGCGCTGGGGTCTCCTGGCCCCGCGGTGGGGTCTCGTGGTCAACACGGTGGGGTCTCGTGTCCCCGTGGTGGGGTCTCGTGTCCCCGCGGTGGGGTCTCGTGGTCAACGTGGTGGGGTCTCGTGTCCCCGTGGTGGGGTCTCCTGGCCCCACGGTGGGGTCTCGTGTCCCCGCGGTGGGGTCTCGTGTCCCCGCGGTGGGGTCTCGTGTCCCCGCGGTGGGGTCTCGTGTCCCGTGGTGGGGTCTCGTGTCCCCGCGGTGGGGTCTCGTGTCCCCGCGGTGGGGTCTCGTGTCCCCGCGGTGGGGTCTCGTGTCCCCGCGGTGGGGTCTCGTGGTCAACGCGGTGGGGTCTCGTGTCCCCGTGGTGGGGTCTCCTGGCCCGGTGGGGTCTCGTGTCCCCGCGGTGGGGTCTCGTGTCCCCGCGGTGGGGTCTCGTGTCCCCGCGGTGGGGTCTCGTGTCCCCGCGGTGGGGTCTCCTGGCCCCGCGGTGGGGTCTCGTGTCCCCGCGGTGGGGTCTCGTGTCCCCGCGGTGGGGTCTCGTGTCCCCGCGGTGGGGTCTCGTGGTCAACGCGGTGGGGTCTCGTGTCCCCGCGGTGGGGTCTCGTGTCCCCGCGGTGGGGTCTCGTGTCCCCGCGGTGGGGTCTCGTGTCCCTGTGGTGGGGTCTCGTGGTCAACGCGTTGGGGTCTCGTGTCCCCGTGGTGGGGTCTCCTGGTCCCGTGGTGGGGTCTCGTGTCCCCGTGGTGGGGTCTCCTGGCCCCGCGGTGGGGTCTCGTGTCCCCGCAGTGGGGTCTCGTGTCCCCGTGGTGGGGTCTCCTGGTCCCGTGGTGGGGTCTTGTGTCCCCGTGGTGGGGTCTCGTGTCCCGTGGTGGGGTCTCGTGGTCCCCGTGGTGGGGTCTCGTGTCCCCGTGGTGGGGTCTCCTGGCCCCGCGCTGGGGTCTCCTGGCCCCGCGGTGGGGTCTCGTGGTGAATCGGCAGCATGGGTAGCCCCAAGGCCGTGCACCTGGCTTTCCTTCCTGTGCTTGTGGAACTCACTGACCCCACAGTGTGGCGCTCCCCGCGTAGTCCAGAGGTCTGACCCGGAAGCTTGAGACCCAGTGAACACAGAATAGAAACATTTGAGAATGTGTTCATGGTGTAGATTTTGGAATATGCAGCGCATGGTCAGAAATGATGAACGGCAGACACAAATCAGAAACTCAACCTCTGCTTGGTTTTTGTACTATCTCGATGAAACGTGTTTTATTTCTATTCTCTCCACAATGACAGCCATAAAAACAGAAAAGCCATTTTCTATTAGGCAATGATTGTCTCAAAGCATTTCTGACGACCGTGAAAGTGCGTAATTGCTCACTTGCTTGTGCGTGACATCAGCAAACACCGAACACAGAGCCGTGAGCTCAGAAGGGCTACACTTCCTTGCCTTGCTTTGTATGTTGAGGCAGGGCCTGACAAAGAGCCAGGCTGCTCTGGAACGGAGGATGCTCCTGACTCTGCCTCCGGAGGGCTGGCGTTAAGTGTGTGAGCCACCGTGTCCGGCTTCTCGGCATTGCTCTTCAGCGGGGCGGCGGTGGGGTAAACGCTTTTCCTCCCTGCCGCCCATTTGTTGTTTTCAGGCGGGGGTGGAGCACGAGAGGGGGGCCGGGGCTCCCCCGAGGGGAGGAATGCCGTGACCAGGACATCTGGCAGGCAGCCAGAGCCGAGGCTGCCCGCCGGCCCTGGCAGTACCCCATGCATGTCCACGGTCCTGCATGCATGTCCACGGTCCTGCATGCATGTCCACAGTCCTGCATGCATCCACGGCCCTGTGTGAGTCCGCGGCTGTGCGGCAATCTTGGGCTTTCCACACCGTTCTCTGCTGTCTGGACCCCTGCACTGAGGACAGCGCCACACCCATGCACATCTGTCGCACAGTGGCCACAGCCTAGCACAGAACCACGACTCACGGATGTTGCTGGCTTTGAACACCTCAGAAACAACCAGGAGAGCCAACGGGCCTGAGGTCTCACACAGCGATGCGCAAAGCAGGACTGGAGCGAGCTCATTCGGCCACAGCCTGCGCCGGAGGGCCATGGGTGCAGAGGGCTCTGCACCCAGTGTCCAGGGCTTGTGATTCGCCGTGTGCACGTTTGCTAAAGCCCTCCTTCACATCAGAACCGCCGCAGCCTCCCTGGCTGTCTCCTTCCGGATGCCTCTGCCCCTCTTCCCGACCCCTCCCTGCCTCCGTGCTGTGTGCCAGAAACAACCTTGTTCATCTCCCGAGAAGGTGCCCCTAAGTCCCTCTGATGGCGGCAGCGCCCCGGAGTGCGCGTTCGGGACACCTCACCCTGCCACTGGCTTCTGTCATGGCCTCTCGCCTCACGCTTTTCCTGCGCCTGTGTTTTATGGCTTTCTCCAGGCCATGTATATTCATGGTGTTATGTAAATAGTAACTGTGTGGTGAAGTCTTAGGCAGAGGGATTTAGCTTAGGTGGTAAATTTTCTAAGGGGTGCTTGTGGTTTTCTACAAGAACTGAAGGAATCTGACACTGAATCCTGCCAGCCCTGTCAGTGAGGGAATTTGCATTAACGACTGATTTGCTCTAGTGCAGTGAATCACAGCTGTGGCTCCTGAGCTGCAGAGACGGAGGCTGGGCCCGGCAGAGCGGGTCACCGCGCGGCCACCGGGACTTCGCTGCCGTCTGCAGAACTGCGACGCTCAGTCACTGCCCAACCCCGGGCCGCGCTTCCTTTCTCCCAGACCCTGGGTTATTTTAGGGAAATCTGATTTGCAGAGTTTGTTCTGAGATAAGAGAAAGGTCACCTCTAGAGGAATTCTTCAGAATGTAAGCGTGGAACACGCAGCTGCACACGTGACCCCCGTGTCACAAGTGTGTGGGAAGTTAGGTGGGGCAGAGTCAGTCCTCCGGACGGGAGGGGCGCCTGCCCGGGGTGAACCTTGCGCGCCGGGTGCCCTGCGGGGCATGTGAAGCCGTCTCCTACCTGCTGTGGACCTGATGGCTGCAGCCACGCTGGAGGGCGTCATCATGGGAACGCACTCCTCGTCCTGGGAGTAGCCAGCCTGGATGGCTTGCAGATAACTGTGGCTCCTCGTGCGGAAGTACCCCGGCAGGTCCAGGGCGTCCATGGCCTGAGACTCCACCTCGCTGAAGACGGACTCACACACCGACTCAAACTGCCCATTGACCTCGGCCTCGCTCATCTAGGACAGGCAAGAGCACAGCCGTTACCGCACTGCCTCCCGCCCCGCGCGCTCCTCCACCGGCTCACTCTTCAGCACAGCCGGCGGAGGCTTGAGAAACCACCCAGGGGCTATTCCTTATAAAGCGGCGAGGAGCCAGCCCACTCCGAGAGTTGGCGGGGTGCTCGAGGGGGCTGCTGGCCGTCACAAGTGGGAGCCGGAGCCTGCGGAGCTGTGAGAAGCTCCGGGGCAGAGCAGCGCCTGCGCGGCCCCCCGCTGAGTCTCCGTCCCAGGCTCCAGCCATCCACACGGCTCTGGGGACCACCGGGGAGGTGAGCACTCAATTAAGAGCACAAGCTACTTTTAGCTGCTTTTCAGGGTGTGGCTCATCGTCACGCTCCCGCCCTTCTCGCCGCCACAGCAGCAAAGCCGAATTCTGGTGGAGAAGCAATGTCTGCTTGCACTTCAGTTTCTGTCTGCATGAATCAAGGCGCTCAGCCTGAAGCCCAGGCCCTGCCACCCGCTGCTCGCGGCGAGGACTTTATTTGCTCACGCAGCAGATAAAGCAACAGACGTGCAGGTCCTGCAGGAGGCCAGGCTGCCCAGGTGGACAGCCTGAGGACAGGCCCCCCCACCCCGAGTCCTGACAGCGACACCATCGCTCTGTCCCTCCGCCAAAGGCAGAGATTCCACATGGAGATCCAGGAAAGCAAACTGCAGAAATGAAGTGTGGAGGAGGAATGGGAGAGGCACAGGACTTGCGGGCACAGCAGCAGCAGAAATGGGGCTGGTGACTCAGGATGACGTCCTGGGTGGGGGCACAAGGCTGGTGCTCAGCCGCAGGTCCCTCCACAGCGTATCTTACTGTGCTAGCACACCCAGACGCAGCAGCATTGAGGGGCAGGGTTGAGGACACCCAGGAGCACCAAGCATGGAGCAGAGCTCAGGGAATGGAAGTGTCCCCCACACCTGCCACTGCCTCTGCCGCCCCGCCCGCTGTGGCCAGGGCTCTGGGGCCGTCCGGGCCCAGCCACACCACCAGCCACCCTGTGCACCTTGCCGCCTCCTCCCTGCTGCTACAGCTGTACAGCTGCCACAACCAGGTGTCTCAGACCCCATCCAGCCCGAGTGCCGTGATTTCCTCCAGCTCCAGCCATCGGGCTCAGAACAGACGGCCAGGATGGCCATCGAGGGGCCAGCCACAGCTCCCCATGGACTCCCCTTTCCACCGCTGGACACAACTACATGCTCAGGTCATGGCTTTCCCTCACCTTACTTCACACGAGCACCTCAAGACATGGTTGGAAGTGCACACAGGGGTGACCGTGCACACAGGGATGACCGTGCACACAGGGTGACCGTGCACACAGGGGTGACCATGCACACAGGGGTGACCATGCACACAGGGATGACTGTGCACACAGGAATGACCGTGCACACAGGGGTGACCGTGCACACAGGGGTGACCGTGCACACAGGGTGACCGTGCACACAGGGGTGACCGTGCACACAGGGGTGACTGTGCACACAGGGGTGACCGTGCACACAGGGGTGACCGTGCACACAGGGCACACAGGGGTGACCGTGCACACAGGGGTGACCGTGCACACAGGGCACACAGGGGTGACCGTGCACACAGGGTGACCGTGCACACAGGGTGACCGTGCACACAGGGGTGACCGTGCACACAGGGTGACCGTGCACACAGGGGTGACCGTGCACACAGGGATGACCGTGCACACAGGGGTGACCGTGCACACAGGGGTGACCGTGCACACAGGGATGATCGTGCACACAGGGTGACCGTGCACACAGAGATGACCGTGCACACAGGGGTGACCGTGCACACAGGGATGATCGTGCACACAGGGTGACCGTGCACACAGGGATGACCGTGCACACAGGGTGACCGTGCACACAGGGTGACCGTGCACACAGGGGTGACCGTGCACACAGGGGTGACCGTGCACACAGGCTGACCGTGCACACAGGGGTGACCGTGCACACACGGTGACCCCAGCCCACTAAGTGGTATACTCTCAGGCTCTCCTATACCTGATGGTGCGTCTTTACACTCAGGACCGTGGGGAAGTTCTGTGACCATGCTCGCTGCTCTTATGTAGTGGCTGTCACTTCAAAATGGGTTCTCCTATCACCCCCTTGCTCCCCTACCCCTCTTCTGCCTGTCTCTCAGCTTCCCCCACCACGGAGGGGGCTTTCTTGCCTTTTCCTGGGTTGCCTCGGCAGGGATTTTAGGGCTGTGAGGTGAGGCCACCCAGAGCTCCTTGCACACCCGGCTTGTCAAGATCGCTTAAAGTACCAGGAAAGTCCCCACTGGTTGTGCCCAGCGGAAAACAATGGTTGAGGAATTAACATCTCCCTCAAAGGGAAACAAACGTTCTGATTGTTTGCTCACATCTCACTCCCATCTGGAGGTCTCTGGTTTCATCCTGGCATCGCTTACACATTGCTTACACACTCCTCACGCTAGTGAGGCCAGCCTTGTCTACAGAACGCGGAGGAGGAGGACGAGGAGGAGGATGACAAAGAGGAGGAGGAGGAGGAGCAGGAGCAGGAGGAGGACGAAGAGGAGGAGGACGAGGAGGAGGAGGAGGAGGACAAGGAGGACAAGGAGGA